TTAGATGGGATCCAACTTCTACATTGATTTTTTTGAGATTGAACTCTTTGAATAATGGAACAAAAGTGCAATTGTAACATTGTTTCTTTAGCACCCCATTGTGTAAATTTTATAAATAATTGATTTCATTAAATTTCTTGGCATGAAAGAATATTATACAATGCTCTTTGTATTAGAATATTGTTCATAATTTTGATTTAAGGTGCTTTGTTGCAAGTGTGGTATTGTAGAAGAATCTGATTCTTGTGCTAATTAAGCCCATAGGATATACAATTCATGGGACCAAGTAGATTCCAATTTTGAACAAGTGTTTGTGGTTTTAACAGGTGAATGATAAACATAAGTGGAGAATAGAGCCAATTATGTCTAGACAATTGCTTTCAATCAATTGTTAACGTAGTTTGTTGATTTAGCAATTTAAAAGGACAAACGATATATTTATATGTATATATATAGATATATATGTATATATACTCTTTTTCATTTTCAAAGACTGCAGTAAGTTTTAATTCCTAATTTTATTTATTTATTCTCTTATGACAAGTTTGTCTTGTTCCTTGCAAGTAAAAAGAGTTTTGCAATCTCCAAACCTTTGTAACTTGTCTCATGAATGCACACTGACTTACTGCCGGAAGCACAAGAGACAAAATTTTAATAATGTAAATGGTGTAACGATGAGCTTTGAATTCTACAGCTTATTATGACAGCTGAAAAGTCACAGATAAGTGACATGAAAACTATTATAACAACTGTCGCCACATTATAAATATATATATATATATATATATATAGATATAGATGTGCAAATAAATTAATTAAACTATATACGAAGAGCAATTTTGGGATAAATTAAAACAGAATTGATATGGCAACCTAAGCCATGCAGCAGGAAATGGGTTTTGTTCAAAGACTAATAAAATCATATTTTTGTCAAATTTGTTCTTTACAGAAACAGTCCTATAGGTTCCAAATTTACAGAATCAGTATTTGTCTTTACCGTGATACAAAATTTCTTAGTGTAGGAAATCTCCTTCAGACTTATCAAGAAGAAGAAAAGAAATGAAACGAACAAACAATTTCTACACAATCTCAACACTCATCAGTTTTGCAAAAAAGATTCATTTGATCCTTAGATTACTATAACCACCATTATAATTTGATCAAACTGTGTATATTTGTTTTTGTATCAAAAAACTTTAGTGATTTTCCCAGAACCTAGATTCGAGATTTGATACATGTCTTTGTAAATTAAATAATGTCCCACAATACCAAAATTACAATAATTGTTGTTTTTTGTTATCATGTTTGAATTGCAGTTTAAATACTACAACCATGCATAATTTAAACTACATAAAAATGTATGGTTTACAATTATATCAATCCAATATAACTTTGAATTTTTCAATAATTTAAAAACGAATAATAAGTAAATCTGTGTATATATATGAATGGAAGTTTATTTTATTACATTGTTTTTTTTTTTTTTTTCCCTCGAAAAAGTTGGATCCATCTTAACAGATTCTAGTTGACAAGTTTTAAAACTTGTTAACAAAACTTCCTAAAAAACAATGCTATTTTTTTAAGTGTAATGTTGCCAACAGAAAACTCTTTCTAAATCTATTTAATCTTTAATCTAAGTAAATTGACTAGGCAAAAATCATTAAGTAATACATATATTATTTATAAATAAATGAGCACGGATTTTATGCATATAAGACTAAATACATGCATGTATATGTATATATATATATATATATATATATATATGAAATCCTATATTATATATGATTTTTTTAAAAATACTACAAACTGAAACTCTAAACCTATTGTACTTCTAATTCACACTCCATTCCTATTCTATTTTAATTTTAATTATTGTAATTTTGGTATTGTGGGAAAATAAAATTACAAATTTTAATTTTAATTATTGTAATTTAACAAATTTTAAATCCAACCATATTTTAATTCTATTTTAATTTTACTAGATATTTTCAGTAATTTTATTTTTTCATATATATATATAAATATATATATTTAATATTTAAATTATATTATAAATATGTTTTATTAATTACTATATACATATATTTAACATTTTAAATAATTCATATATTTCTAAAATGTATACTTATAAATATTATTTATTTATTTATTTATTTCTAATTCTATCTCATTTATTTTCTATTGCCACCACAAGTTATTCTTATTGAATTTATTATTTTTTTTATTAAAATTCAATTTTTTTTATGTATAATATATATATATATATATATATATATATGTATATAAACTTTTGATTAGAATAAAAAAAACTCAATAATATATTGAGTAGGTGTTAGATGGTGGTGGTAGTAGCAAAAACTATGATGGCATGTGGTGAATGGCAATTTGTAGTAACAATAGCAAAAATTGTGGTGAAATTATAAATATTCTCTATCTTTATGTATTTAATCCTTAGTTGTATTTACTACACATTGATATATGATGTTTTATTATATAATATTATACATCAATATCTTGAACCAAAGCAAGGGCTTGTAGTGCATATGTATATATATTTATATGTATAATATCAAAAAATTATGACAATAAATAAGTATATATATGTATATGAATAGTGGTGATTCATATTTCATTTGAAAAAGGATAAAATCAAAAGAATAGCTAAATCTTTCAATTCACAAACCCCAAGTCTGATTTATCCATATACTTAGAACAATCAATTAACCTTTATAATTATTAAGTCCAACATAACAATAATTATGAAGAAAAATAAGAATTGAGAATTACTTGTTGAATTTTAAGTAAAAAAATATAGAAAAAGATAAAATAAGAAATTTTAATTCCTAACCATTAAAAGTTGTTAGATTTCATATCTCATTAATTTAATTATTTTTATACAATTAACGTTTTAAAAATGCATTGATGTTGAATTAAATAATGAGAATTAAAATCAAATAAGATATATTGTGGTGCTTAAAGTTAAATTTTATGAGCTTAAAAATATTTAATTTTAAAAACATATAAAATAGCATTGAAAAAAATTTAAAATTTAAATCTAAAGAATAGATTTATAAAAATAGGACATTGCTAATACCACCACAATGTGCCATCTACCACATGTTATCACAATTTTTGCTACTATCACCACATCATGTCATCTATTCTACATTTGTTATTTTTTATTTTTTAATACCAATCAAAAAAATTAATAATATTTCTAATATATATATATATATATATATATATATATATATATTTCAAAATTTATAGAAAATAAATTTATTTTTAATCAAAGTTAATAAGAATAAGTTGTGATGGCAATTGCAAAAAATATAGTGACATATGGTGGTCATATCAAAAAAAAATTGGTGGTATTAGAAAGATTCTATTTTCATATATGGATAAAAAATAAATAATTTTTTTAAAAATAATTCCTAAGATAATTTATACTTATTTTTCAATATGTAGTTGTACAAATTTTTATGTACCATCAACTTCTACATGATTTACAAATACTAACATGTACATACATATATAATTAAAATTAAAATTATATTTATTTAATTTCATATATATCCAAATTATAAAAATTATATAATATTTGAATACTATTTATTTACTTAATAGTTTTTTATTTTACAATTAATTATCTCCAATGATCTTGTACCTTTATGTGATGATTTTAAGGTTAATAATGATATTTTAGTAACAAAATAGAAACATTTGTTTGCTAACATCATTAATTATTAATTAGACCATAAAATTAAGCATTTGGACATAAGCATGGCTATTCCACCAACTTATAAATCTATAGAAACTATTTATGGTAATATTTTTATTATTTACCATATTATGTGATTTAAAGGATTATGAATATAAATAAAATACATATTTTTATAGTAGTGAATTTTATATCCTTAAATATTTATTCATTTTAAGATACTACATTAACTTAAATTGATTTATTTTATTCTTTGAAGAATCCTCTATCGTTATTGTATAGATTTTTCTTGTCTTTCTATTGCTGTATATATATGAAAACGATCTTTCAAGTCTTAAAAAAATAACTTATAAATGTAGAAATCTATCTCTTATGAATGTAAAAATAACTCATGAATGTAGAAAACACATAAACATTTATTATAATTATTATATTTTAGGAGTTATTGATAGATTATTAATTCGAGAAACTTAAATATATTTTCAAAATTATGTAATTTAAAAATATATAACTTCCAAAAAAAAATACTATCTTATTATGTGAAATTACCATTACCTTTGATTATTTGTAATTTTACACCTACATCAAAAACATAAGGTGTAATTTGACATACTGTGCTAAAATTGCCACAAACTTTGTTCATTTGTATTTATATTCCATCTAATCATCATAAACTTCATTCATCACTCCATGTTCCCCTTTTCGCTTTTCGTAAAATAAGTACTATTTTAAAATGATGTATTTACTTGCCAATGAATATATATATATATATATATATTTGTATGTCTCTACTTAGATAAAAAAAATCGAGCATCTACTTGTGTATGTAGCATCAAAATATCCTATTAGCTGGAGCAATAGGGGGCACTTATTGCTGAGATATAGTGTGTGGAATAACACTGCATAACACTGTTGCTTTTGTTTTGTTGTTTTTTTTATCAAATCCCTGACTGTGACACTAAGGGCCGGATAATATTGCATAAGTGCCAAGTGGCAAGAGTTGCTTCGAAAATGTCAATGAAGGAGCCAGAATCCCATTGGTCGGAGGATCTTAGTCGAAATCCTAAAAACTGTCGTCGGTATTGTCCCATTACGTACGAAAGCTCGGCACGATGGGGGCCCATGACGAGATGAAACGCCATTGGCCTCGTCTACCGTATGATGTAATGCAGTCCGTGGCATCGGCGACTTGTATTTTTGTCTGTTATGACTATCGATTGCATTCGTATTACCCCTTGTATTCGGTGCATGTCAGGTGCTTTTGCCTAATGGGATGATCCTACTTGCAAGCTGATCGTCACTAATCCCAGTGCTCAGTCGTCATAGGAATCGGACAAACTAGGTGGAATCCATGTCTGTGGTGGCCTGTGGCAAGCACGATCCAGGATGTGGGGGGATTAGATGATGCTACTTGACGTAAGAAAGCAGCTGAAGCTGTGTGTCTAACCGGGCTTGATGGGTACTTAAGTTCGGGATCAGTATCACTGGTCGATATGTGCCTTTGAAGGCACCGTCTGGACTGGAGTGCAGTTTTTTGAGGAGTTGGGTTGCGCGTTGTTGTTGTTTGGACAGCAGCGGAGCTTGATAGGAAAGGTGAGGTGGTAGAGAGTGAAGATGGGGATTCCGTCGTTTGTGGAATCTGAGCACAGGCCGCTGGTGTTTGCGCTGAATGGACAGCGCGTGGAGCTGTCTTCGGTGGATCCAGCCACCACTCTCCTCTCGTACATTCGCAGTGAGACACCTTTCAAAGGCACCAAGCGAGGGTGTGGCGAAGGTAAAGAAATCCTTGACACAATTCCTGCTTTGTGGGTCTACTGCTTCGATGAGACCACGCAAGGGATAAGGGTGTGTTTGTTTATTTGTTTTGATGAGGAATTTGTTATGGTTTTTGTGTTCAGGTGGCTGTGGAGCATGTGTGGTAATGTTGGCGAGGTACAACCCTGTCACCAAAGAAGTCAAGGAAAGTTCCGTTAATTCGTGCTTGGTGTTACTCTGCTCCATCGACGGCTGCGCCATCACCACGACAGAAGGCTTGCGCGGCGGCGGAAACAACCTCCATGCTATCCAGAAGCGCATCTCAGCGTTTCACGGTTCACAGTGCGGCTTCTGCACCCCCGGCATGACAATGGCCATCTACGGGTGCCTCAAGCACGATCAGCAGCAGCAACGCTCATTAACACCCGTTGGCGACAGAACTCACTCCAAACCAAGCTGCGAGAAGCTTGAGAGAGCTCTTCAAGGAAATATATGCAGGTGCACGGGATACAGACCTCTTCTCGATGTGTGCAAATCTTTCGCATGGGATGTAGACCTTGAAGATTTGGGCCTCAACACCTGCTGGGCCGACAAATCTGGAGCGAAGGAGGAAAATTTGCCACCCTATGAACCGAATGCCGATCCCCAGTTCCCTAAGTTCCTAGTCGATGAATTAGAAGCTCGAAAGGTGCCTTCAGAGCCTACTCAAACGGAGACTTTGCAGAGCGTTGGCGAGAGGTTCAGGCACGTTGAAAGCAGCAATGAGGGGAAAAGAGAGCGTTTGTGGGTAACTGCGAGCACCTTGAATGAATTGCGTGAGAGGTTGCACGTACTAAATCAAACCAACCAGCAGTTGAAGCTGGTGGTTGGTAATACGAGCGCTGGTATCTACAAAGACCTCAGACCAGATGTTTTCTTGGATATTAGCCAGATACCCGAGCTCCTGACACTTCGGCGAGACGATCACGGTCTCGAAGTTGGTGCCGCCACTCGCATTGCCGAGCTTATCGACTGCTTGGAAAGTTTTGGAGCTGGGAAATCGCCCGTGGCTGAAGGCTTAGCAGAGCATTTGAAGAAGCTTGCAGGAGGCCATGTCCGCAATTGGGGTAGTGTGGGAGGTAATCTGGTTATGGCACAAAAATTTGCGTTTGCTTCGGACCTCGCCACCATTCTCCTTGGTGCAGGGGCCTCAGCCAGGGTTGTGGACTTGGGAGGTGCTCATCCGAGTGTGGCAGAGCTTCCCTTGGATGATTTCTTAGCGAAGGGAGCACTTGGAAATAACAGTATTCTGCAATCGGTTCACATCCCTCTTGTGGCATATTCCAGGGAGGTTGTGTTCAAAACTTTCAGAGCAGCTCCGAGGCCTTATGGTAACGCGGTCTCATTTTCCAACGCCGCTTTCTTGGTCCATATTTCAAGAGAGAGGGAGGAAGTTGTGATTGAAACAGCTCGCCTAGCTTTTGGTGCATTTGGAACGAAGCATGCGATCCGGGCTTTGAAAGTAGAGGAGCTTTTAAAGAGCAAAACTTTGAGCTTATCCTTGGTGAAAGAAGCTGTGGAGGCTTTGAAGAAGGAAGTGGTTCCGCTTGAAGGGACGAGCATGAAAGAGTACCGCACAAGCCTGAATGTTGGATTTCTCTTCGACTTCCTTAATTCCCTCCTTTCCGGAGAGCCAACCGTGACTTCCACTCATCTCGTAAGCCCTCGTTAAATTCCCTAAACTCTTGCGTTGCTCCATTTCTGAAGACATACACATACATTTTTTCTAATTGTGTAGATCGATTAATCAACCTATCGAATATTTTTGTGCAGTTCCCTCACGTCGGAAAGCAAAACTTCACTCTCACCGATGACCGATTCCCTCTTTCACAACCTATAGCGAAATTCCTGTCTCAGAATCAAGCATCTGGTAAATGGACAACGCAGTTGCTCACATTTGTTGTAATTGGGTACGGTTGTGAACCGATGCTAATGGTTTATAACACTTCTCCGGGATAATGACTACCAGTAAGCGTTTGGATCTTACAGCTCAAGGAACACTGACCAAAGTGTGAGATGGTTGTGCAGGAGACGCAGTGTATGTGGACGACATCCCTTCACCTCCTCACTGCCTACACGCTGCGTTTGTGTTGAGCTCGGAGCCTTATGCAGCCTTTGATGTTGACACCGCGGCCGCACGAGATTCAACGGGAGTAGTCACGTTCATCTCAGTAGACGACATCCCCGGAGAAAATATCGGAATAATCAACCCTTACAACGGGGCCAAAGAAATTTTATTTGCGGGTGGAATTGTGTTCTATGTTGGTCAACCCTTAGGAGTAATGGTAAGTACTTACCCGAACTCATCTTTCACATGAATAGTGCTTTATTCGCCTTATCTGAAGCTTTCTCTCTTACCTGAAATCTGCTCCTATTCTAGAACGACCACCGCCACTACCACTGCTATCTAATCATTCTACTGTCTTGGTATGTGAATAGGTTGCAGACACATACGAGCACGCACAATTAGCCGCCGGGAAAGTGAATGTAGACTATGATACTCACAGCTTTGGAGCTCCCATAATGAATTGCGACGAGGCTGTTGCCAAGGATTCTTTTCATCCGATGAATCCTGCGTTTGCGCCACCGCATAATCCGGTCGGGGATGCTGAGGAGAGCCTTAAAGAGGCGGACTTCAAGTCTGAGGGCATAGTAAGTTGACCGCGACATTGATTATTCAGAAACTATTTAACAAGCAACATTTCCTGATTTGTGTTCCTTTCTATTGTAGCGCACTGTTTAGTAAACAATTTCGATCCTCTCGTGTGGCTGAAGGTGACGACAAAATCGCAGTATCATTTTTACATGGAAACACAAACCGCATTGGCTATTCCTGATGAGGATGACTGCATCACTGTCTACACTGCAAGCCAGGCTTTAGATTGTCTCCAACAAGTCATAGCCGGTTGCCTCTCAATTCCCTCGCACAATGTTCGTGTCATCACCCGGCGACTTGGAGGCGCTTTTGGCGGTAAAGCATTTCGTAATATGCAGGTATGAGCACGCTCTTACCCCTCATATGAGCGCTCAATCTAATGGTAGAAAGTGGACTTTTCCGACCCAAGCTTGTTTGAGCTCGAGGCAGGAATCTACTAAAATTGAAGCTGGTTATCACCAGGCCTTAGTACTGTCACGTGTTGCGAATGCTCGTTCATGCTACAATGTTATTTGCAGATAGCTGCAGCGGTTGCTGTGGCTGCCTTCAAGCTCCGAAGACCGGTCCGCGTCTCTCTTGATCGCAACACAGATATGCAGATGGTGGGGGGTCGAGCCCCAACCAAGACAAATTTTACCGTGGGGTTCACGAAGACGGGAAAAATTACTGCCTTGAAAGCCAAGACGTTGGTGGAATCTGGTTGGTTTGTAGATAATAACGATTTCAATCCTATGCTTATAACCAGCGGTATGAAGAAGTACAATTACGGAACATTCGACTTGACTACCATACTCTGCAGAACCAACAATGTGCCCAAGACTGCCGTGCGGGCACCTGGGGATGCTGAAGGCTCCATCATCGCAGACGCTATTGTGGATCACGTAGCGTCCTGTTTGGGCATTAGTGGCAACCAAGTTCGGGATGTAAATCTCCACACCTCAGAGAGCATTGCCCTCTTTCACGGTGCGGATGCTGTGGGTGGTGCGGATGGTTTCACATTGCCTGCAATGTGGGAGCGGCTCAAGTCTCGTGCACGTATAGATGAGCGAGAGAAGGAGATTATGGAGTTTAATGCGCAGAGCAAATGGGTGAAGCGAGGCTTAGCGATGGCATCGTGCACTTACGGTGCATTTACATTTGGAAACACTGCCACTGTGAGCATCTTCGGTGATGGTTCTATTGCTGTAGAAGTTGGTGGTGTGGAAATGGGACAGGGTTTGTATACTAAAGTGAGGCAAACCGTGGCGTACTGTCTTAGTCCCCTATGGAAGAAGGTGGGTGTTAACATGACGGTAAAATTTGACATTCGCTTATGCACGTGAGCATTTTTTCAGCAACTGAAATTAACAACACCGATGTCACTCGTGAGCGGGCTAATTTGTCCCCTCTCTCGTGGTGATTGCAGAATAAGGACGTCGACATGATCCCAAATATCCGGGTTCTCCAATCAGATTCTCTCAGTTTACCGAACTCATTTTGTGATGGTGGGAGTACAACGTCTGAGGGGTCATGTGCAGCTGCCCAGCAAGCGTGTGAGGTTTTAGTTCAACGCTTGCAGCCTGTGGTAGAGCAACTCGCCAAGGATAAAACTGATGGGGAAGTTTCGTGGGAGTACCTTTGTACGATGGTATGTATTAAAAAACTACCAACACCACATTTTTCTGTTTGATTTCAGAAATTTGTCAGTTGAGGTCCCATGCCTTTGTGACCCAAATGCACGTGAAGTATCTAGCATGCGAACATTGACAACAATTCATGAATGTCAATAGTAACAGTACCAAAGTTTTCGCAAATTGTTTCACTATTCTTGCATTGTATGTGCAGGCCAAATTGATGCAAATTGATTTGCAGTCTCATGAGCGTTGGGTTTCTCCCATGAAACCGTACGTTTTATTTGGAGCCGGAGCAAGTGAGGTGTGATTGCTGACCTTTCTGACTTAAACCTCTAAAGTACGAGCTCACTACAAAAGTCAAGAGGAGGTTTTGGACCACATTTTAATAATTTCATGACAATCATAACCACCAACATAAGAAGAGATTGTTAATTGACGACCAACTTAACTACCAACTTAATGGAAAGTAGGATGTTAGTGTTATGTGATCGAGATCGCATGCATCGCAAAAGCCAAGTCTTGTCGAATACTGAGTGACTCGCTTGCACATTTGCAGGTCGAGGTTAACCTGTTAACAGGGGAAACAAGAATCTTGGCTGTGGATCTTATCTACGACTCTGGAAAAAGTATAAACGTAGCTGTTGATATCGGACAGGTGAACGAATCCTCGCCATTCCTAACATGATGTCTTTGAAGATGATTTCAAATTCGTATAGGACCTCTCATGAAAAGGGCAATTGTTTTTATGCAGGTAGAGGGTGGCTTCGTGTTTGGTATTGGATTTGTTTTGACAGAGGATGTTGAAAGAGACGCTAAGGGAAAGCTCTTGTCTGATGGTACATGGACATACAAGCCACCTACTATGGACACAATTCCACAGAAGTTCAATGTGGAGCTCTACAACAGCCCCGAGCACAAAGACCGTATCTTATCTTCAAAAGGTTCAGCTCCCAGACTTGCCACCTCCTTTCCAAAAATCAGCAATCTAGTTTGTGCAAATCCATGGCCTGACCAGAGTCTATCGTCGTACATTTCAACTGGTTCACATCTAATTAATATCAATCGAGTAAACATATACATATTATTAGAATTACTGTTTTATTGTTTTACAATTTCTGGATGTCTTCTTCACTAAAGAATTGTGAAGCAAGTGACACTCTAACTTGATGTGTAACACGTGTAACAGCGGTTGGTGAGCCTCCTCTAGTGTTAGTAGGCTCTGTGTACTCTGCGATTCGCAATGCCATCAGAGCTGCGAGGAAAGACCATCTCGGCAGTAACGCAGACAGTGATGCCTTCGAGTTCAGCCCACCTGCAACGGCAGACAAAGTGAAGAGCTTATGTGGACTTGATAATGTGGAGCACCATCTGCTATCCGCACTGAAACCATCCAAAACCATACCGCATGGAAAACTGGTTTGAAGATTCGTGGATCTCACCTGGAGGCTCTCGGCTTAGTAGGGTGCACTTGCTGGTTTGCGGTGACTTGAAAACTGTATAGTGTGTGAAGTAATTCTGATTGATTTTACTAATAGCTTATTACTCTGTGAAAGCCATTTGAGTAGGACGGATCACAGGCTATGTAGACGTTGACGTGTAAATATTGGATAGTCATACGAGTACTAGTTTTGAAAGTTGCTTCTGCACTTAAGAATCTCGAAAGCTCCATTTTCAAGTTTACTTGCATTTGTGAGCATTTTCATGCTCTTTTTCTTTATTACTCACTCCTGTTGCCAGTTTTGAAATTAATACTTATTGTACCCGCAAATAGTGCTCGGTTTTTGTAAGCGCAACATGACTGCATTTAACTCAACTCTGCCACATTTGCATGATGATATACAATCATACCCACTTGATGTGTTCATACTTTTTTACTCAGACATGCTGGGGATCACAACGGTGACAGATCTAGAGGTCAGTTTGTGCTTTGTCTTATCAGCTAGATATTAAGGCAGTAGGGTTCATCTACAAATTCATCAAGATGCTCGACTGGTAGCCGATATGAGTAATATTGGCCAGCTTTGCACCACAGCATGGCAGATGTTATCTATATGATTCTCTCAAATGTTTAAGCCTGGTTGCATGTATGTGCACAGAAAAATACAATCTTAAAAGAAAAACCAATTTCAGATTTCTAAGTCAATCTTCAAAATATAGGAAAAATCACAGCCTCACCTCCTTTGTCTGAACCTCCATGTTTCCGGTAAATCAATGGCGGAAATTACTGGAAGAATAGTTCACGATTTTGTCATTATCACTATTCCTTATGCTATTAGCTTCGCATTGATCTCTCCGGGTGTTAGGTCCTGATATGCTTGTAACTTATTTTCTTCAATTCATTCAAGCATCGGATGTACCCGGTTTTATGTCAAGAAAAGGAATCAAGTCTGGGAATAGCTTTGCAAATGGTGAATCTGATTTGGTTGTTCACGCACAAGCGACGAGAGGATTTAGTCTGAATTCACTCTAGGATCAAGTGTGTTTATGTCCCCAAGTCCTAAAAATAAGGATAGCGTTAATGTCACAGCTTCTGGATAATAATAAGTGTGCGATAAGACCGTAGACAACTTTTATTCTTTGGCAGGAGCAGACAGATCCCTGACATATTCAGATGTGGCGGCGTCCTTTAGGAGCAGACGTATTGGAACACAGAAGATTCTGTTGCGAAAAGACAGCCGGAAAAGCGGAAACGGAGTGTACGGTGCTCAGTTCATCTCTTTCAAGTGTTTTGCGAGGTTTGATGTGGATTAGTTCACTGTAGAGAACTTGTAAGCTCACAAACCTGAGCACCCACAATCGACTTGATGGACAATGGAAGATTTGGGCTCATCAATTTTCAATTCTCTGGTTGTTGACGGAGCTGCGTTTGGTAGAGTTGGTGGAGGTGAAAAGAATCTGTAGGGAGTATGAATTTGAGGGTTGATGGGTGTCAAGCAGTTCATGGCTTCGAAAACCTTTGAGATGTATGGTTGTTCTGTTATTCTGTTATTATAGAAGGTCTGAAATTTAAATTGAATGTTATGCATGATTCGAGTACGAAGTATCGACTTTGGAAGAACGATAGAAGGGTCGATGATGCGACTAAATAACTGAACTTCGGAGTCAGGTTTTGAGTGAACGCAGTGGATGGTTGTATATGTATTCCAGAAGTGGTAGGATCCGTTGAAAGTGGATTTGAGACGATCTCATTGCATGGTCTTTCTGGGAGTGCATTATTTGAAATCGTGTTTTCGAGAACTTTGGCTGTTGGTCTTAGTTTTGGCCGACGGCGTCTGCATTTGGTAACGCATGTATCTGGAATCCATGGTGCATTGTATTGAGCAATCAGACGCTAAGTTGTAATACTTGTGTTTTTTCCGTTCTTGGATCTTGAATCGTTATTAGTCAGCTATATCTTTTGCAAACAATTTAACGGTCGGTCATGACTTCTTCACGTTAGACTCTAAGTGAGGTTGATCAGTTATGGCATTTAAATTGAGGTTTGGGATCACACGACAGAAGGATCCATCAAAAACTGTGGAAGTCAATGATAGGGTTGGTGCCTAGGACGCTGCAGCGACAGCGTTGTCAGCGCCGAGTCCATCCACTCCGGCCATGGGATCTCGAAACTCGAAGTGAATCGGCTTGGGACAAGCAAATCGTTAACGTCAATGGCATGGCAACCTGGAGAGACACTTTCGTCTTCAGTGCTTTCGCAGAGCTCACCGAAACCGATTGGGAGTAAGTTGCCGAATGGAACTTCTGAGCCACTACAATTCATCAGGGACGTGCCTGTTCTGAGAGGCAATCTCAGTTCTCAAGGAAACTCAATCTGTGGTGTTATATGTTCGACTTCACAGATCCCACGAAGGATGTGAAGGAGAAAGAGATTAAGAGACAAACATTGCTGAAGTTGGTTGAATATGTGGCTTACGGGCCAGGGAAGTTTACAGAGTCTCGTATGTAGGTCATCAACTTGTTTCACTCTTCCGCCTGGTCATCACGGAATTACGACCTTCGAGGCCCATGAAGGCGAGGATGAAGAGTCTGCCATGGACCCCACCTGGCCGCATTTGCAAATTGAATTTGAGTTTCTGTTGTGGTATGTGGTTTCTCCTGATACGGACGCGATGGTTGCCAAGAGATATTTTGATCGTTCCTTTGTAATAAGATTTCTAGACCGATGGACGCGATGGTTTGCCCTGCCTTTCAAGGAGGAGCACAAGGTTTTCCTTGTGCGTGCCCTACTACCTCTTCACGAACCCAACGGCGTTTCTGTCTATCACCAGCAGCTCTCCTATTGTATAATCGGATCTGTAGAGAAGGATTTCAAGCTGGCAGATATTGTAATCAGGGGTCTGCTTTAGTGTTGGCCCGTGAAGAACAGTGGGAAGGAGGCACTATATCTGGGAGAGTTGGAAGAAGTTCTAGAGTTCCAGTGCTGCATGGAGCCCCTCTTCAGGCAACTTAATCGTTGTCTCAACAGCCCCCATTTCCAGGTGAATACCACGCTTGTTTCTTCGTCTAATCTGCAGGTCCGATTCGTTTAATAAAAACTACTGAATCATCTCATATCTTTCCAGCACAACTATTCAATGCTTACATAATTACAGACATATGCTCCTCTTGAGGCATGCTTGCCTAAGCGACTCAACGCATCATTGCAATGAAATTCAATTAGTACAAAACTAGTGTTGATGCGGCACACAACAGGTGGCGGAGCATGCGCTCTTCTTTTGGAACAACGATCACATCGTAAGCTTGGTTACTCAGCACCGCCATGTGGTTCTTCCCTTGATTTATCCTGCTATTGTGAGGAATGCAACTAGTCACTGGAACCACGCTGTGCATGATCTCTCTTAGAACGTTCGAAAACTGTTGTTGGAAATGGACAACGTGCTTTTCCACGAATGTAACCGCAAATACCAGAATGACTTGGCGAAAGCTAGAATACTAGCCGCGAAACGGGAAGAAACGTGGAAGAGCCTGGATGCTGCTGCTGCTGCAAACCACAGCTAGAATCACTGTACTGTAGTCTCAGCAACATTTCTTACATTCCAACTGTGTTCAGTGAAAACAAGGCTGTGGGACAGAGGATAACATCGAAAGGCTAGCTCCTGTCTCCACTCTATCTGATGCCAGGGCACTGACCAGTTCTCATACCGAAAAAACCACTACGCTACTGCAAATTTTAAAGAAGGTTAAAAGACCTGTAGAGGTCAACGCACGGCACTTCTTTTTGCATTTTGGGGGATCTTATTTCGCTCCCAGATTTGTCATGAGAGCAAAACCAGAGCAACTTGGTTACCACTGTTGTCGTGCCCACTGAAGCTTCTTCAGGTTTTCATTGACACCACATGGGCATTGAATGATGCAGTGCATCGGAGGACTTTTTCAAGGTTCTACTTAAAGTTCTACTTAAACCAGAACTCATCCCTGGTTATGGTGGTGGACTATTGTGTCACTTGCATTGCGTGCTGGCTATTCACAGGCACTGTAAAACACGGCATCAATGCTCTTTAGAGATCGGGTGTTTCCTGCTAGAGTTTGCTTGTTGAGCGGTTGAAATTGTAGATCGCCAATTTCCAGGCAGATGTTGAAGAGCTGTCAGGCCTTCCCTGCATTTCATTGCCAGGCGATGTGTGCAGGTTGTGCTGATTAAGTCAAGTTTGTGGCTAAAGCATTCTGTGTTAGATCCTACTTAAGGGTTGAAATTGCAGTTTAGCCTCTTTTTGTTTTGTCTCTCAAGCAGGGGTAACGCACACATTATGAGTGCTGGCATATATGTGTGTGCTTTGCTAATATTTAGAGGGTTTGTTATTTGTTAAATAAGGTATAGAACAACTGGAAATGAATGAGGGGTTGATCAAATTTACAAAAGAAAATTCATATTATGGTTAGGTTTAGATTGAGGTTGTCTTTGATTTGACATGTCATGAAAAGAAAAGTTAAGAATGTCAATTTTTTTAAAAAAAAGATTACATATATACACACACACACACACACACACATATATATATATATATATATATATATATATATATTATTTTTATTTTTTATTTTTTATTCTTCACTATTCAAAAAATTTAGATATGAATCTTATTTCTTAGTAGATGCTTATGTCTTTATTGTTTAGTTGATTTTAGTATTTTTAATTTAGAGTTCAAATCTACAACATTAATTTTTAAATCAGAAGATTGTATTTGACATTATCATTGTAATTTTCTAATCTACATCAACTAATGTTAATTCCATGCACCCTTTTTAATCTTCTTTTTTACTATTTCTAATTCTCATAAAATACTATGTTTAATGCTTTTCTATCTATTGAAAAAAAAAAAAAAAACTAACCAATTTACATTCCTTCAAATAAAATGAGCTAAATTATAAATTATAAAGAAAAAGAAAAAGAAAATATTCAATAACCAAATGAAGGAATTATATACAAATTTTTAATTAAGAATTATTAAAAGATTTTTACACACCAAGTTTTACTAGTTACATCCAATAATGCTTCAACTTTTCAGAAAGCACCTTAAATGCCTCAAAAATATATATGTACTAATTATTTTAGAAATCTATTCAAATTTCATATTAATCATAATCATATATATATATATATATATATATAAATCTTTTGAAAAATTAGATTATATTTAACTATATACATGACTAATTTTTTTAAATTACATTGAAACATACATAAATCTAGGGTGTTGCTAATGTTACCATAGTGTTTGGTATTGCCATCACAAATTTTCCTAAATTTAGGACATTCTTTATGGATATTGTGGTGTTGTGGGAATGTGTTTGGTATTGCCATCACACATTCTTTATGGATATTTATTATAATTTATTATTAATATTTTTTTAAATTCATTGTGTTTGTGCAATGCAAGTTCAAAGGAGCTTGTGGTGACATTAGCAAAAATTATGATGGCATGTGGTGGATAGCAAGTTGTGGTGGTAGTTATCAAAAACTACAATGGCATTAGCAACACCTTAAATATAAATATCTTCTTACAATCTTTAATTTTTAAATATTTGAGATAAGTCTAAATCTATTAATAATTTGATTTGACTTAATATTGATTTGGCTCCTATGACATAACAACATTATAATCAATGCATAAAAAAGAAAAAAGAAAAAAACCCCTTCACATTTAAATAATATTTTCTTTGCATGCTTATCCAAATCAAAAGAAATTATTCTTCATAAATTATGACTATTTTTTTTTTCACTCAACAAATCCAATCTTGTTATACACAACTTTTTTGAATTATCTCAACTTAAATCCTTTGCTAAATGAATTTTGGTTTGTATCAATTTCTAGCGTACAATATTTTTCCATGATCCTCTTCCAATATACAATAGATTGTAATCTATTATTATTGAATCCCATTTTTGAGTGTTATTGTTGCAAAAACAAAAAAAAAAACAATACAAGTTATCAGAGTAAAGTTTACACTTTTGTAAATGTTGTCTCTTTGCATTAAACATTGTAAAACATGTTACTCAACAACATTATAAAAATAAAAAAAATAAAAAAATAAAACACTACTATTAAATTCTCACAAATAGCTATCTTTTTCGAATTCCGTAACACTCGATCAATCAAAGAAAAACTTATTAGCTCTGCGCTCCCCATGCACACATGGACATTAACTCCAAGGCTCACAATCTCCTCCCACACGGATTTGTAATTCCTTTCTCAACATCAACAGTAAGCTAACCCCCCCCCCCCTTTTCTGTTCAATAACACACACACACCCACACAAACAAACAAACAGCTCCAAATTTGAGTGATGATGGAATCCACGGAACGAACGATCCAGCACGCGGAGCGCCGCGCATTGCGAAGCCCAGCAGGAGGAGCAGCAGCGTCGTCTCCTCACCCAAGCAGCAGCTGCAACGTGACGCCGGGGCTGATGGACAAGGAAAGTGGGTCCATTCACACCTGGGGAGATGCAAAGAGCAGAAGATGAGAAAAGCGGAGAGAGGGGTGCTGCACACACACAGGTGGATATGAGAGAGAGGAAAAGTGGGGGAGGTGCGCGATAAAAGTGGTTCTGGCGTGAAGTGGGGAGGAGGGGTGAGAAAGAGGGCGAGAGGGAGTGAGAGTTAGCGAGAGGAGGGAGAACGGGGGTCGTTGAGATGGCGATGGGAAAGTGGATAAGCCGACCCATATGAAGGGAGATTCAATTTCTCGCTCTGGAATCTCTGGCTCGCCTGTCTGTCCGTCACAGGCTCTCTCTCCCCTTCACCTTCACCTTCACACCTAGCTCCTCGTGCTCCCGTTCAAGGTAAGGTGTGCCTGACCTGAAGACGCGTCGTGCAGGGGGGGGGGCATCAGGGATCTTTCTTTCCTTTTTCTATTACATCTTCTTCTTTCTCCTCGTGGGTTGGACGTGTGTGAGGTTGACAAGCTGGGTTTGTTGTTTCGCACCACAATTTGAGTGATTTTTGTGTGTTTCCTTTTATTGATTCTGGTTACATTTGCACGGCCGTCGTGGGGAAGGTGTGTGAGCATGAGCTTGAAGTGGGTTTTTGTTTGGGAGGTCGAAGTGCTTTTACCTTGTGAAGGATGTCAGAGACTTGTGTTCGATGTCAGTGGCCTTGTGTAGAGTATTGTGCTGGAAGTTGGCTTTGCTTTGGTCGTTGAGATGTAATTACCTGGACTTGTTGTGTGTTCCTTCGCTCCTTGGTGATGAGTTTGGCCTCAATTCATCTTCAGCCTCAAGAGTACAATGTGGCTATTCTCTACCTAACCTAGCTGTAGTCAAGTAATTTGTTAGATTGTTAAGTCGGGTGCAAGGATCTTAAACCAAGCTCCATCAGGCGATTCAAATCTTTGTGCTTACAGTACAATTAGGAATTTGGAGCAATCTCTGTCTATGTCTGCTCAATCACTCGGCTTTGTGCGATGATTTTGTGGATTTTGAAATGCTTTGCCACGCTTACCAGTTCACTCTAATAATTGGTTGCTTGCATTCTGGATACTTTATTGTTCATTTGAATAGCCCTTGTGATCAACCTGCTATTTTAGGTTTTGATTGAGTTACCGTAGAGAAAGATTATCAAGCTAAAAGACTTGCTGCCTTTGATGTTTCATATTTTGTGATGTGCTGATATTGGATTTATTCTTTTCGGATTGTGCTGTTCATACGTCATTTGCGACAATTTGGAAGTATCCCTGGCTTTTCTCTTTCCACTCTCTTGCCTCAGGCGCCAGGATACTTGCAACCCCTAATCTTAAAGTCCCAACGGTGACTTATTTCTAAATTCAGTAGCCTCATGTACGTGTCTGACGCTTTTTTGTTTCACTTGCAGCAGCTGAATTGCGATGCTAAGCAGCCGTTAAAGGCGTAAATATTGTTCGATATTCCCAACGCCCTAGCTGGAAGTATTAATTAAAACAGAAAAATTCGAAGGCACTAGCAGCAGTCTCAGGGGCAGTGATGAGAAATGATGATTTAGGGTTGAGAGAATGCAGGGGTAGAGTGACTCCAGGAGCATTTCAGTTGAACGTGTAAGAGGTTTCCCACGTCCACAGGCGAGGCAATAACTGTATCGCTGCCATGTATGGAGCCCTGGGTGCTGCCTGTCACACAGGTCCCGCCGCTGGGCTCCAAACAGCAGCCCTTCCATCGGCATCGTCACTTTCAAATCCTTCCAAGTCTCGATCATCTCTCCTTTTGAGAGCCTTATCCGAAGCTGATACTTGTTATTCTACTTCCTCAGGATACACCGATAACTGTGAAATCAGATCTCAGCAGAAACCTGGGCGGGCTTCTACATCGTTTCGATGGTCCAGATCAATGAATGAGTTTGTACATGGCACCCAGTCAAGCGTTCTGGGTTGCTCTAGCATAAGAAAACATTCATCTCTTCCTTCGTTATTGCCTGCTCCTTTGAGATGGAGATCCTTAAATCGGAAGCTAAGATCAATACAAGAATCTTCCTTAACAGAGGTAACCAGCGATGAGACAAATGAACATCGACTAGAAGTGACACGGAGGGCAATAGCTGCTGATGCTGCTCCCGTGGATGGAGAAGAAACTCAAGTTAAGGTACAGCTTCGTGTTCAAAGCTCTTCTTCTTCTTCTTCTCCTTCTTCTTTAACTTAACGGCAAGCTCAGCATTTGTCTTCATCATGTAGTTAATTGCGGCATACAGTTTTCATGACACATCGTTTGGTAGTTTTTTTATTTTTTGGTTCTATTTATGTTTTATTGATTGTGAAACTGAATATTCTAATAATAGTTATTGGTTTGTTCTCTTTGATGTTTATGCCATATTTTTATGTTGTGCAGCCGCAAGCAGAACTGGCTGAAGATGATCCAATCACTCCATCGTTGGAGAAAATCCCAACATCCTCAACACCACAAGATAAAAAGGGACAGCTTAAGAACAGGGTAGTTTTTGGGTTCATCATAGGCTTCGGTGTTCTAGGTGTAGTTTTGGCTGGTGGTTGGGTTTTCACAACAGCTCTTGCTGCTACAATTTGGGTGGCCACGGGCGAATACTTTGATCTCGTGCAAAGCAAAGCCATGACTCGTGGTATGGAAGCACCACCACTTATCGCGACCAGAATCTGTTCAGCTATCTGTGCAGCCATGCCTTTAATGACCATGTAAGTCCCGATATTACTCACCATTTATTCCTCTCAAAGGTTTTACGTCAGATGCTCGGAAGTTGCTTTTGATTTCGTATTTGCAACAGTTTGACGTCCACAACAAAATAGCTCAACCTAGAGTGACTGCAGGTACTTTGGTGGACGTGTTGGAATGGCAGTAACAACAGCGTCATTTTTGTTGGCTACAGTGCTTCTGCTTCAGCGCGGCCCTCGTTTTTCGCAGCTGTCAAGTGCTATATTCGGTTTATTTTATTGTGGTTACCTTCCTTGCTTCTGGATAAAGTTGCGTTGTGGCCTTGCCATTCCTGCTATCAATACCAGTAAGTGTATCTTTTTAGCTTTGCTATATTGATGCAATTGGTGATTTGTTTCCTTTCAAGTCCATTGAACATTTCCAGACTTTTCCTTTGCGCATTTGCTGGTTTACGTTGTGTTTTAAATTTCTGCAAGTCCTCAAATTTCTTTCTCTTTCATTGTTTCTAAGAGTATCTCCTCTGTGGAACCTCTCCTTTGAATCTACGAACGAAACGGTGCCGTTGGAATGATATGAATAGAATTCGCCTCAGCGTGGCCTGCGCTGCTCGGAGGACAGGCTCACTGGACAGTGGGCCTGATAGCTACCATCATGGCCATTAGCACCATAATAGCTGCAGATACAGGCGCTTTTTTGGGGGGAAAGGTAAGGTTCCAACTGATTCTCTTCTACTGCTTTTTTTTTTTATGTATATTGCAGAAAGTTGTATTGAAAAGTTTCGACGTTGCCCGGCAGGTTTCGTTCGTCAAAATTTGTGGAACTTCATGCTCAATGAATGTGTTTAGAGCCGCTAAGCTGCAGGATATCATCTTATGCACCTTCTGTGTCGTCGGCTAGTTTGGTTGTTTGGTTGTATTTAGAGTACAACAACCGTGTTCAGAAGAACTACAAAGCTGTATTCCTTGATTTGTGTGATATACATTCTGCCGTCCACACTGTGCTTATTGCCCGTGCTTCTGTATCAGGCAATGGGTAGAACGCCACTCTCTGAAGTTAGTCCGAAGAAAACTTTAGAGGGTGCAGCTTGTGGCCTAAGTTCATCAATTGCTGTATCCGTGGTGCTTGCTCGCGTTTTTCAATGGCCCATGTCTATTCCCAGGTAAAAATATTTTGCAAGTGGTTTTCAAGGATTGGAAAAGTCTGGAAACCGTACATTCTCGTGGATATAGCTTAGTCAAAATCTTGGTATAGTTTCAAAGAGTAGATGCCATGTCGCATTGACTAAACGTCATCGTAACTTGGGTTACGGCAGATGGTTTGGCTAGAGGTCTTGCTATGCTTTAAGTATTTGTGTATGCTGCAAATTTAGAACACTTGACGGATCCACGCGCTGACAATCCTTTGACGACAAATACAATCGATCAATGTTCTTATTTTATTTTATGTATATATTTATTTATTGGATTTATTTTATTTTTATCAGTATTATTATTAATAATATTGTCGGCTGGGATGCACGCAGCGCGGCGGTGATGGCGGTACTTGTTTTTCTGGGGTCCCTGTTCGGTGACTTGACGGAGTCCATGATAAAGCGAGATGCTGGTGTTAAGGACTCGGGGAAACTCATCCCTGGTCACGGTATGTCCCGTTAAATTTATTCCTTTCCCCATCTGCATCCTGTATTGTTTAGGTACTAGAACGTGACCTTGTCAATTTTATATTCAGCTACAGGTTTCTTTTACTCTATCTATAGCTGTTGTGGGCGAGATCTGATGGCTAGTCTATAGATGTAATCTTAGCTACTTTTCAGATAACAATAGATGGTATTATGGCAGGGGGCATATTGGACCGAGTCGACAGTTACGTATTCACAGGAGCACTTGTGCATTCCTTTGTCAAGGTGGGAATTCCCTTATTTGGAGTCTAAACATGTAGACTTTTTCTGATTTCGTATTGGCAAGGTTTAGTTTGTTGCCGCTCGCAAGTCTTCAAAGCTATTGGTTGTTGTCCTTACAAAAGGATCTTCAGCCCAACAGGCTCAAGTCAGTAGGAAGCGTAGTATTCTTATAGATCCTTTCTTGAATAGTCCTCTTCCATTTCTACACTAATTATTTGTGGGCTTACCAGAGATGAAAGCCCCTCGACTTCAGTAGATTGTCTTTGCGTCCTTGGATCAGTCAAAACCTTTGCAAATGTAGTCTACGCATGAAATGGTCTTGTATAATTAAATAGTGCATTTCACTTGTCCGAAGCTCCAAGATTCAATGTATAGGAAAATGTGATGAGTTAACTTTCCTGATCATGTTCTCCTATTTCTTTTAAGCTTAATCCTCTAGTGTCGTCTGCTACCTTTGTCGTGTCACAGCAGAAGAGGATGAGCCACAAATATATATACATATACATGCATACTACTAATAGCAATTACAGCGGCATTTTTGTGGAGTGAAAGTTGAGTAAATCTTGCAACTGGCAAGTTCTAGGGCGGATGGTACTAGGCATTCTTAGAACACAAATAGTAGAGCAATAACACTAACTGTCACCAACCAGCTCATGCACATCAACACACCTGTATCACTAAATCTAAAACATAGCTCTCTCATGCCAATCTGCAAGCGACACGTAGAGCCTATCCGAAAGATCAGCCCTGCAACCACCACATGTGAGGTCGAGAGTGCGAGAAACCGCAACATGGGGACCTCAGAAAACTCCAATTGTGGCAAGAGGTCATTCGACAACCACCAAAAATGCCAGGCTTTGGAAACTCCGATGAGAAGGGCTAGCTGGATCTGTGCACAGTAACAGCAATTACGAACCCACTTTCTCGGCTCTGCATTTGATCACCCTCAATACACTCAGCATGTCATCAATCTTCACACCAACACTGCACGTCTTCTGCGTCTTCTTCGGCGGCTGTTGAGTCCTCTTGATATTCAAAGAGGCTCCAACTTGTCTTCAACATGGTGCAAGCCACACATCTGCTGTTTGTGGCCAAGTGTTTCCGTGTTTTTCTTCTAGAATGTTGGAGTTTGTGGGAGTAAGCTTTCGTGGGTTCAGTGTGTGTACATGTGTGTACATGTGTATGTATTTGAATTTGCAACTGAAGTCTTTTTAGGGTTAAACAAAATGGCATACTGAAACTGGAATGGATTAAGATAGGAGCTGGGCAAAAAATATATTGCACATTTTTAGTATGTTTTCCTTTGTGTGAGTTTGTGTCTCATGTTCTGACTCAAGTTCATTTATATATGCTAGATGTCTAAAAGAACAACTATTTTCAAATCAATAAGAAAATGTATAATTTAACGGTTCATTATATATATGGTGTAACATTTTAGAAGTTGAATGCTTCATAAGAACTTGGACTTTTTCTTGGATCTATCAATAAATCCTCATAAAGGTAACATTACATGTAATTACATTGCAAATGATTGCTAAAACACATACATTTCTCTATTTTTTGTTTTCACATACAATTTAATATCTTGTCATTTATTGAACGAAAATAAAATAAAATAAAAACGCAGATACACGTACATTGATCATATACTTATCTTAATTCTTTAAGTTAACCAAACTATTATTTAAATATTAGATAACAAAGTTCTCAAAGAATTCATAGAAGATATGGTAGAAGAGATGTTGAAATAGTTTTGTCACATTTATGCATTGAATGTTCCAAATGCCTATGATTTATTCAAAATGTGAATTTTAATTTGGTTATCTCAGTAAGTTGGATCAGATCCTGAGGTCTTTGAAGATCTATTTTGATAGGACTTTTGGCTCTACTGAGCTCATCAAAACATCCCCAAATCGATGATAATGAATTGAGATTTCAATAACTATTTTATTAAGATTTTTGCACAAGAAATATTCATATTTTAAACCATTATTAATTTTTTACATAATCCATAAGAGTGTAAGAATATACATGTTTTATGATATCAGATAAATATGGTGAAGATAATTAAGTCTTTTTAATTGATCATGATAAGTGGATTTGACATGTACATACATATCTATGAATCCTATTTCATTCTGGAATTTAGAATTCCATAATAATTGCTTATTTCCCTCATGAAGTTTTTACTCCAAATGTACCTTTAACAACCACCATTGAATCTCCATCACAGTCATCTTAGTGTGAAATATTTTCTTTCAATTTTATATGTGTACATATGTGTGTGTGTATATGTGCATATATATATATATATATTTATATAATATGAAGTGTATTAAAATTTTGGACCCATCCATCTACCACTTTTCTTCTTGTGTGTATTCCATAACTAAAAAATTATTTCAGTAAACAGAAACCAAAAGATTTGTAGAATCTCATCACAATGAATCATAAAAATATTAATATTATTTAAGTCTGTACCAGAGTATGAGATTCTTTTTGAAAAAGAAAGCATATATATATATATATATATATATATTTTAGAACTTACATGAATTTTCTCTAGAAATAAATAAATAAATAATTAAGTGAAGCTTACAAGAGCTATCTTAGCACTCAACAACACAAATGTCTACTAATGTGTGTATATATATATATATATATATATATAGAGCTCTGAAATACAAGCATGTCTGTTGGCCGCATTCATCCGCAAAGCTTTCATCCTCGCACATACACACCCATAAATTGTTCATCCAAAGCCACATTCATCCAATGGCCCTCCAGCGTGTGTGCGGGAGGTGTCGGAGAGGCGAATGGGAAGCAAGGCCACCGCTGTGAATCGCAAAACTCAGCGTTTGAGAATCGAAACACTAGTTGGTCAGAAGAGTTCAAAACATTATTGGGTTCCACTCAAGTTGCAATTGCAAATCCTCAAATTGCAATTGCAAATCATCGACGACAACGGTACAAAGACTTTCCAATACCCAGAGAACCCAGATATCTTGTAGCCCGTAGCTTGCTTGGTTGCAGGATCGCGGAGCTCAAAATTGTCGAAACTTGACAATGGTTGCCACAGTTCACCTCTTTCCAGGCAGTTCACTTCAATGCCAGAGGTTAACTCAAGTGGTAGAGCCGGTAAGGCCTTATAGCAACTTGAACAAGGTCGTATATCCATGTCCATCTGGCGTGATGCAATACTATGTCGATCTGTGTGCGAGCTGCTGGGTTGCTCAATGCGGAGGTCCCCCTTCCCAGCGATGTTGTCGAGAGTTTGCGGAAGGGGGTAGGATTGTTACTTACATGGTTCTTTTGTCAAATCTTGGCCAAAACCCATGGAGGTCCACTCATTATCTGTTTGTAGGCTTGTGAGTTTTTCAAGTAGTTCATGTTCTGAGTACGCTTTTAGTATCAACATGCACATAATTGCATTATGAAGTCCACCTTGTGTCTCGTTTGTGTGGTCCAGGTTTTGCGAGATTAATGCTTTTAACGTATGGAAAACTGTAGCGATCACATTGGCATCAGTAGCTCTAGGTTATGCCCCCTCTATCTCTGTCACCGTGGCATCACTATCCTATTGTCAACGTCTATTTGGGGAGTGCTATGACAGACCTTTTCGTTGCCGGTCATGACCTTTGGACACAGTTCTCTTTCTAATAATCAACCTAACAATGACACAGGCGGGACGACTGTGTTATGCCTCTGATGTATCCCTTAGAGCCCTGAAGAATCAAGCACAATACTCACCATCCTCACACCCACCGATATGTTATTGACCTCTCTAACATGCTTCAATAATACAGACAACTTTAAGGCTACCGTGGGTGAATTCGTCAATAGGGTCAATACAATAGTAGGGATGATTAGCATGTGAAAACATCAAGCAAATCAGAATGATGTGAAATGCCTTGGGTCTTTGTTGCGTTCACAAGTTTTTCACTCCATTTGGTACACACTGCATTCACTGCATTGTTACTTTTAAATATATCTGATTCTAGATTTGATTCCACTGCCTTTAAAGGTTGATAATCGACCAGCTTAGCAAGCATTCAGGCCATGGTTTCCAACTAAAGCTGCCATGAGGCTTCTCTGGTGGATCGCTTTTGTGAGGCATGGGTGGTTCTGGCATTTTGACATCACCAAGTACAAACTTCAAGATAAGTGAAAGTAGATGCTGTTCTTTACTGTTGTAGGGCTCTACTGATAGTACTACTCCTGCTTTTGGGCTCAATCTAATATGATCAACATTTTGTCCAATCCGCTTGGTTGCTGTTGCAATTTTTGGCGTATTTGCATAGCTACAGTTGTTTGTTCTTACTTGTTCGCTGGGCTTCCTGAAGTGTTGAGTGGTGCCCAGATTGGGTTTCCTTCTCTCTATTAGCACTTTCACTTTGGTGAATTCATGACACCTCACACCCGTTTCAAGCAAGCTTGAAAATGAAATGCAGTAGACGCCCAATTAAATGGAACTGCTCATACCGAGTATCCTGCATGGTAAATTACTGAAGGCATCGCTGACCCCATGACGTTGGCAAAACATTTCCCTGTTTCTTCAAAGTTAGAAGGTAAGATGAAATTTCATATATGTGCTCCAATGTTCACAATGAACGCATACTTTTTCACTGGGTGATTCAAATTCATGTTTGATACTATGGTGTACATCCAAGTGCTTCCGCAGATAGGGCTGGCTGAGTATGAATTCTGCAGAACTTAATCACTCGGCAATTGTTGTTTTCACGGAATGACTTCTTCTGCCATGAAATCAGTGCACACATTCCTCATCACACCACTTTAAGGATCCCAAGTCGCAACCTTCATGAAGCCTGTGCATCACTTCAGATAAACTGGGACATGCACCTTAATAAAGCCGACTTCGATGTTTCCCTCAAGACCACCATAGGAACTCAATGCAACCTATTCGACGACAGAAAGAAAAGGTCGGTGAAGTTTGAAAAAGCATCACGCAATTCCTCCGGCGTAGGCTTAATAACAGTTCAAAAATCCAAGTCAGTCTGCATGGGGTGAATGTTGGCACAGATGTAGAAAAGTCTGCAGACACAAGGTAAGCTAGGGCTTTACTTCACATAAGGGATATAACTGGTGTGATTTCTAAAACTTTCTGAGGGCGAGGGAGTTCACCATGCATGAGTACAAGCTGTTTTTATATGATTGCCAACATGCTGTAGTTTGCATTGAAACTTAGCGTCTTGGAAAAGACGCTCAGTGAATTCTCATTGATAGTAGTGATACTGCTTATTCCTACGAGCTGCTATATCGGTTGCATTAGCTTCCAAAGGTTCAACCTCACAGATCTCAACACGAAGATAGTGGCACCCCACTTAGCCTTTGTGGGGTATTTTTGGATTCCTGGTGCCAAGGCAAGGCTTCATTTATTGTTCATTGAGAGGAATAAAATTTTGGGTGATGAAATCAAGGAGGGATTGCAGAGTTAGGGGGATGTGAGCCTGCTTGGTTGAATCTGAATTGTCCACTAGACATCGAGGGAATATACTTTTCTATTCCAGAGAACAGGTGCTTCCTATGTGTGTGTGTTTTATTCTGCTCTTGATACCTTCAGATTTAGAATAACAACTTGATGAGGAAGAACAACCAGAAACTGAATATAATTGATTTTATCACATCTATTCCATCCTTCTCTTGTTGATCTGCACTACAAAGACGTGTGGGCCTGATGAGAGAGAGCTGCTGTCTCTTTGATACAGTGAGAAGGTGCATGAAACTATTGTTATATATATATATATATATGTGTGTGTGTGTGTGTGTGGTATTCTCATGATAAAATCAACTGATTGTACCTCAACTAAATCCTTTTGATTGTTTTATCTGATTTTGTGTCTCCGAAAGGTTTACTTCATGTACAAGAAGTGGTGTAATGATAAGAATCTAGTGTATTAAATTAAAGATAAGATGATTATTCAATTTTTAAAATTATTAATTGGGATGATTTTTGTTATCATTGTTGTTGTTATTATTATTATTACTATTATTCCTATTTTTATTTTTTTAATCCTTTCATTTTTTCACATGATTCATTATGATTAATTTTCAAGGTATTTTGATATACCTTTTGATATTTATCTTTGTAATTAGAAAGCCTTTTGTACAAATAGAAATTGCTCTAATTTCATTCATGATAATTATTGTTCCATATTTTTGTGAATAGTTTTATGTTCCGCTTTCAACAGAAGAAATTTATAAATATCAAAAAAGTCAAATTTCACCGGAGAACCAATACTGAAACATTTATTTAATATAAAAAGGAATATTTGCCAAAATACTTTATTACGTGAGTAACTAAATATTCAAATGCATGTGCATTCTACATTTTTAATAAACAATGTTCCTCAAATTCAAGTATCTGGTTAAAAAAAATTGGAATTGAAACTACTTGAAATTAAGATAATGAAAAAATAATCAACTTCAAATTACCTTAAGTTTGTATTCTATTTTATCCAATAAAATAATAATAATAATAACAATAATAACAATCCAACAGTCTTAGCTTCTCATTATTAAAACACATAATCTGCAAAAATAGTTAAAATCTTATATTTTATTGTTTTGTTGAAGACAAAACAAAACAAAGTTCACTATTGTAAAATATAGAATCTTAATCTATGTTTTTATGAGCATTTCTACCAAGACATGCATAAGACATGTTAGTTAACAAGTGCTAGTTCAACATCTAAAAAGTGTGGATTAGATCCATTCTCAACGATTTTGCATATGCAAAAAAATATACAAAAATATAAATTTGCACTGAAGAAAATATGAAAAACAACCACCATCCCAACAACAACAACAACAACATTGCACAACTATTGCAGAAGTTCCACTGAATTCAATCCATGTGATTCACGTTTTAATCTACGAGGAACAATTTGGACAGCCATGCATCATGTACGTTGTGTTCATGTTTGCATCTTTTTATAAAATATTCTATACAAAGTCTAGTAAAACAAAAATCAACTATCATTTCAAACAACATATACATGCTTCAAATTGTAGAGATTCTGCAACAGTAACGGTATTCATGAACATTTTGAACATAAAATAGATTTTAAAACTATAAATAAAAAAATATATTTTATTTTATTTTTATTTACAAATGTGTTCGACCAAGTTGATTCAAATACTCCAGAAATAGTCTGAAGTTATAAAACACACACATCATGAGTGTTGCTGGGCACACAAAAAGAGCTTTCTTCTTCCTGCTTTTCATCTGACGTGTACAATAAAAACAGATGATCATCTCGAGTTTCCATCCATCAGTCCAACGTGGACGCTGACAGCAGGCAAGGTCGGTGCGCCAGCTAGACATGCCGTTTTCCTACTTGCCACATCAGCAGGCTGTGGTTGTAGGTCCTAAAACAAAAAAACCTTTTTTATTTTTATTTTTTTTCGTTCTTTTTTTCAGTTATGATCAGGTGATACTTCCAGAATGAGAATTGGTCTTGGTCCTCACACTTCCAAGCTAGAAATCAAAGCAGTAACGAGCCAGAGGAATAAACATATAAGAAGAAAAACAAAATTTAAATTAAAATAGAGTCCATGAATTGTGGGTCACCAAAGGGGCTCAGAAAGGGAGAAATCATTGATCAGAGAGAAAATGAGGCAACACACCACGACATGGCATGATGAACTTCCCAAAAATTAAAGCATTAGCCCAACACATTCTACAACGCACACATCCACGTCACCAGGTGACCCAGGTGGGCAAAATGCTTAGTTGGCACGCCACGAGGTGCCACGTCACCGTGGCCATGTACACGGTATCTGTCTCTCTGGAACAATTATGATCCAAAGGACGGAAAGTCTTGAAACCAAGACGTTCCCATCAGGGGATCTGTTCTCCATGGGAACACAATCACCCAATCTTGAGGACGGCGTTCACCAATCCTCCTTTCTGTCGTTTGGACACGTGGCGAGCTTCTATGGGTCTGAATGGGGAATGGACTGTGCGCCTCGATGCGAGGAGCCACATCGGAATGCTCGCTTTGCCTTGGCCAGCTCATCAATATGACGTGGCAGTCTGATTGCACAGTCAGCGTCCAGCGGCTCTCTGACAGCTTCCACTAAGCTTGTGCTTACGCTTATCTTAAACTTATGCGGTTCTTTGTTAGCGTTTCACTACTCGAGGCTCAGCGTGGGTCGGTATATTAGTTCCGTGAAGCCTCTTGAAGGCTAGTTATCACCAAGTCTTCCATGCCGTGACCTTTTGAGATCGGTGTTAGAAGCCAGTGGAACTAAAGGGCAAACAGAAACAGCAAAAGTCTAAGTATTCTGGATTGTCTGCAATAAGAGGAAGCTGTAATTCTTGCAGTGTGAGTATTTGTGTTTGCGTGTGTGGATAAGGACCACCATTAGTGATTTCACCGTCGGGTACAATCAGAAAAAACGGTTACCAGCCAAGGTAGGTGATGGGTACAGAGAGGGTCACCATTCACCCAATTCTGTACATCTTCAACGTTCCTTTTTAATAAAAATGGAAACAGCAAAAACTGAAAATTGTCGATGAATTTGGAAAATTCTTCCTCATGGAGCTTCCGTATTCCTTGGATAGAGTCGGCATCGCTAGGGAGCTGCCGTTGCTCAATCTGCTTCTTTCATTCTGACGCCACCCGTGGTGTGGCAAAGCTGCCGAAACTGGGTCCACCAGAGGAGAGTGTCAGCAGGTTCAAAGCAGAGCTCAGACGACAATATGAGATTGTCACTGTGCCTTGACGTAACTGCTGGCCAGAAGGTTTGTAAGAAGGGATCGTATGCTCATGTGCTGGAGGAGGGGAAAATAATAATGCACTGTAGGATTTCCCATGGACTGCAACCTTCCTGAAAAGGCATTTGGCCGAAAGCCACTTAAAGGATGGTGGAGTGTCTACCCGGCTTGTGGCATGTTGTAATTTGTGTCTGTATCGACAGCTTTGTCACCGAGCGTCGTGATCATTACTGCTCAGTGGCGTAATAACCAGCATTAAGGTTTCTGGATTTCCACATCCATCTGCGGTAAATGGAGAGGTGCGAATCAAACCTCGGAAAAGGCGTAAGTTTTTGAAATTGTACTAATGGTGATGAAATTGTGAGACCAAGTCTCGGCCCAGTGCTGTCCCAGTCTCCTGTGCTTTCTGGGCCCCACGCGAAAGATGCAGCCTGTACAGCGTCATATCTGGCGATGGTGATGAAGGATCAGTTGAAGCTGTTCGCCGGTCTTACTGTTGTAGCTATCCTGTAAATCCCCCCCGGGACTCTTCTTCCATCTCATCACCACTACTGTTCCAAGAATTGGTCAAGCAATCTGCAGAGTGGTGTGGGCCTCCTTTCCTGCTTAATTGGACCATATCAGCCTTGTGCTTGCACTAGGCTCTTTTTTCGTTGTTTTTTCTCTCTTTTTTCTCTAATTCAGATTCCTGAACTCTTGGTTACTGTTCTTCTCATCGTGGTGAGTGATGGTTGCTCCGTCGAAGCTACCAAAGGTGGCAGAAGTAATTTGCTGAGGGTTTGAGTAATCCACAACGAAGATCGTATGATCGCAATTTGAAGAGCAGTGGATACTTGTCCATCGCAAGTAAGTGGGGGTGTAGATTGCTGAGAATTGTAATTCATGAACAATAGCTTGACAATTGATGTTTGAAGAACCGTGGTTTTGATTCTCTTCTTTTTATTGATTTTTATTGTCTTAAAACAATCGCGGCAATCATACAGCACTGCCTCTTACAGTCATTGCGCGAATTCGGTTGTCTCCGTAGAGGATATTGACTTTTGAACTTGGTTCGAGGGGTTGCTTCATTCAAGTGAGTTACGTTTTCTTAATTCTAAAAGTGCAGCCGTAGTCCAACGTCGTTGGCCTTTTCTTTCAGTTCGATTTAAGTGATTGAGTGGCATCGTGGCTTGTGACTCTTTCGTCGTTACGTAGCTCTTATTTATATTTTTTCTCCTGCAAATCTACACAGGAAAGTTGTGACGAAACTCTAGGTGCAGGATTGCTAGAGCTCTCCAGATTCCCATGGGAAATTTCCATCATTCTCAAGACACAATCTCCTTGTGCCCTGTGTTCTGGGATTAAAACGACCCGCAGACTCTCAATCCCCAACCTTCTGATGTTGCTTCGTTGATAGACTTTGTCCAGGAGCACAAGTAGCGTCGTTGGATAACCATTTTAAGCCACAGTCATGATGCCGAAGGTATGCTTGTTTATAGATAAGTCTGTCTCTTCCCTGTACCCAGGGGGATTGTGTCAAATTCCCCAACAACACTGTTGAGTATGTACATCTATGTCTAACTACAGAAGAGATTTCGGCTGTCGAGGAACCCATCGCAAGTCGGCTGTCTAGGAGTTAACATAGATAATGGCCTCTTCCCAACTGGGCTTTTGTTCATAAATATGCAACGGTTTAGATCTATGTCTTAGGACCTACACCACGTCTTTCTGTTCTCTATCTCTTCTTTGCTGGTTTCTGTGTGTGCTTGTTCTAGTTGCGTTGACACAGAGTTCAATTCGCATGAGTGATGTAGCATGTTAGATTTTTACTGTCGATGTTATCATTCTGAGTGAAGGTTTCGTGAAAATTGTCACGGGGTTTGTTTACGGGCCCGAATCATGATAACTTTGGAGAGTTTACAAGGAATCTGTGACGAATCCCCAGGTGGGAAGTAGCTAGAAATTTGCAGACTCCCTTGGGTAATGGTTGCACCATTCCACGATCTCACCTTCTCTAATTGTTTCCGATTTCCTAGATTCATAACTAGGACATTAGAATCAGCTATCTCTTCCCCCTCAATGGAAAGACTCGGCGGCGCAGGCAACACAACTTCTTATTGGACTCCCTTGATGGAAATGGATTCATTTTCTTGATATGTGTACGTTTGTGTATGTGACAGTGTTGAACTCCGAGACGACCCAGTTTTAAAAGAAAGGGGATGAGGCAGGAGCATATCACCCGGACAGAATCGTATTCTATTACTTCCCACCTATACGAAGAATTTATACACAAGTACTGCTTCCGCTGATTTGATTGCACTTACAGTTGTATCGAAGAGTCCAGCACTTGACCAGTGAATGTCTTCTGTTCATATTTGTCAGAAAATGCTGATTATAAAAAAGGTTCGTCGTGATCCAATGTCACGTCTCAGAAACAGAACAGAAAAATCACCCTCCGTTGCAAAGCGTCAGGGTGAGGATTGAACCCCTGAAAATAAAGAAGCTGTTGTCTGAGCGCAAAAAAAAGGAGCGGACAACAGATTGTTGTTAGATGATTGGGTTGGAAGGCACCCGACACTTGAGTGCGTGCGGATTAGCATCATGTGGTACTAAGAGAGATAGCAGGTTTCAGAATGCAGCTAGATTTCGCTGGAAGTTTTCTGGATATGCTTCAGTTTGCATCGATATTTGTGTCAAGTCGTGATCACCTCTTAAGATCGTTCAAACAAAAAGAAACTTACTTCTCAAAATCAAAGCGCATCGATTATCCAACTTGAACTACAGAAGTTCCTACTGACTCATGATATCGAGACTGTCACCTTTCATTCAAAAAACGAAGTAACTGAATCCTAGATATCTATGTGTAGAGTGGCTTCTAGACGGTGATCAAGTTGCTTGTTGTCGTTGGTATTCAATCAACCTCAGGGACTCTTGTTCTTAAGTGATAAGCTAATTGCTATGTGATATGAATGCAGATAATGGCCGAGGTACAGACTTTGGTGATTCAAACAGTGATTCTTAAGGTAGTTCTTCATTGCGAGGGATGTGCTCGGACTGTCAAGCGAGCTGTCAAGCGAATCCCGGGTAATGTAATCCCAAACTAGAGCCACTTGAACTGAGCTTTGTCTCAAGATGGTTAGACTTATTCAACTACCCTCAAAATTGAGTCATGGATAATGCACTGATTATGAAGCTTGGCACTGAAACAGGAGTGACAGCCTACAGTGTAGACTTCCATGGTCAGCAGGTGACAGTCACAGGATTAGTCACTCCCGAGGATGTTTATCGACACGTCTCTCGAACAGGCAAGATCACGGCGCTGGTGCCTCCACCTCCACCGCCGCCTCCACCCCCTGAAGAGCCAGCCAAACCTCCGGAGCCTCCCAAAGAAGAGCCCAAGGTAGAAGAGGCCAAACCTGAGGAGCCAAAGAAGGAAGAGGCAGCTGCACCTGCTGCCGAAGAAAAGAAGGAAGATCCACCCAAAGCAGAGGAGCCCAAGAAAGAGGTAAGTTTCCAAAATTCCACCAAGGAGAAGAGAACGGAATACTTGCAACTAGCTTTATGAACAACTTCGACCAAATCAGTCGGCAAACTTTTCTTTTGCAAACTCGTGACCATTGACATCAGAATTCATCTTTGGCATTCAATCATTCTTAAAAAAAAATCAAAGGCAGTTATCAACATGAGAAAGACAGTGAGAGTTGAGATAGTCCACCAAGGATTTCACACAATTGTAAGACAATGGCTTAGGATATAATACGGGTTACGGGTTATGACCCACTACTCAAAAATACAAATCAAAAGAATGGCAAGAAACAAGAAACAATTAAATCAATAATCAAACTCAAGAGTCGACACCAAAATGTAAAAAAAGAGAAGAAAAAAGAAAAAGAAAAAGAAAAAACTTTGTACGTTTTGTAGATATTTATAGTTGTAGATTGAAGCTTGAAGAGACTTGCACGTGGGGGTCCTGTGTCGATGACGTAGGAAGAGAAGAAACCTGAGGCCGCGGCACCACCACCAGCTGAGGAAAAGAAGGGAGACGACAAGAAGGCCGAGGAAGCCAAAACGGATGAGAAGAAAGAAGAAGCAGCACCGGCACCGGCACCACCCACCGAAACGAAAGAAGAGGCAGCCAAGCCAGCTGAGGAACAACCCAAGGCAGTGGAGGAGAAGAAAGACCCACCGCCACCTCCACCGCCAGCTCCAGCTCCAGCGCCGCCTCCGCCGCGTCCACCGCCCAGTTTCGAAGATATGTACCCAGTGACGTTTGTGCTTGGACCCGATTACACCCGCTACTACTACTACTAAAGGATTTTTGCAACGCAGGGAGGTTCGTTGGATGGGGCTCCAGCATCATCATCGGCAACTGGGTCGGCCTGGCAACAAGTCAACTAGCAGGGGGGGATTCAAAGATTCGCGGCGAAGGAATCGGTTTATCGTGTGGAGACCCACCGCATCCTCTCCCTATCGATGCATCGTTAGTTTGCCGGCGTCTGTGTGGGTTTCGAGCACTTCAGGATAATTGTTTGCCTACTTTGCGGTCGGTCCATCGCTGCGGACGAAGATGTATCCTACGGTTTCCATCGAACTATACTCTCGATATATGTATTCATCCATCAGTACGATCTATACATCCATCCATCCATCCAACCACGCAGAGGAAATCATTCATATGTGCAATTATAGAGGTTGTGTGAGAAGTATACGCCTATATGTAATAAAAGTTTTGGAGTGTGGGTTTTCTTTTCTTTTCTTATCATTCCTTTGTGGTGGTTTGGTGCTTTGCGTGTGGTCATGGAAATTTTTGTATGATGATTTGCAAGTCATCATACAGTAAATAAATCATTTCATTTTCTTTTATACTTCAACTTGAAGCTCACAGTTTTTGATCATGGTGTTTTTGCTTCAGCATAATTAAGAATTGAATGCTAAATTTTTGCATGGCACACAACGCTTTTTTGACATAAAATACATACATGCATGTCTTGTTTTCTCTTTTAAGGTAGTACTATTCTGTGTTTGTGTAGAAGTGTATTTTGTAAGAACAGAACTGTAGGATGAGGCACTTTTAACTGATTAAAACCTTCAAAATTTTCAAATCGAAAAAGACTAGACTTTGAAGTGATTTAGTACAGAGTATACAAAGAAAGAGAGAGAGCGAGAGAGAGAGAAAAAAAAAATGATGTACCTGAAATTATACATTTAATAAATATGTGAAAAATCAATCACGAGGCATGTGATTATATTCATTAATGGAGTTGTTAGCATTTACACTCCTTTGAAAAAAAAACCACTGAAAATAGAGTTTTTGTTCCTGAAATGATAATATAATGAAAACAAAACATACAAATTTGCATCATGTTTCATATTTTTAAAAGTGTACAGAATTCCCTTTTTTTTTTTTTTTAGCATCAAAGTCTGATACCATTTGTGGGCTCCAGCAAAATTGAAGAGGCAGGTTGCAGAATGATGTGAACGGGAGGCTCCTAATTGAATGCGCATAATACCCATAATGAAGTAATTCAAAACACAATATTAAAAAACGTTAATACGACCCCATCACTTCACTGAATTTTTTGTGAAGTGACAGTCTTTGATTGTGGAACGTAGTGCCAAGTGGTCGACGAACGAGAAACATCACTCTCGTCCATCTCCGTCGCCGTCACCCAGCGTAATGTCGTCCAGTTCTTCTTTGTTCATCCAAGTCGGTACAGCACCGAGATTTCATCCCATAAACGATGTCACGTTCATCCCATAACTCGCGTCAATTGTTCATCCATACATTTATTCATTCATTAATCCATCCATCCTCTTATAGCGGTGTCGTCGTCTTGAGCAGTGCGCTTGACCCCTGATCACGCCATAGCCAGATCCCATAGCTCCGTCGTCATGAATTCCCGACTCTTCACGGCATGACACCTCCCATTCCGATCGCTTTTCGTGTGCGCTAAGGCCGCCAGTTGCTGCATCACGGCGAGTGCTTTTCGAGGAGGTAGAATGTTCGTGCTCTAGCGTCGATTTTGAATTTTTCTGGCACTTCTTTTAGGGTTTTAGTTATGTTTTATTAGGAATATATATTTTTTTCTAGTTACGAGCGTTGGGAGTTTATTTTATTTTGTTTATTTTGTTGTTATTTTTTTTTTGTTGTGGTTTATTTCGGTGTATTTAACTTGTCCCTTGCTTATTTTGGCTATTTAAAATTCGTTGTATTTTTATTGCACAGGATCGTTCGTGGATCTGGTAGCTCTGGTTTAATCGCGATGTGTTAAAGCCTACCTACTCAGCTTCCTAGCTGTGGAGAATCTATTTGTGAGGCCTTGAATGGCGTGATAGAGTAATGCGAGTGTAGGGAAACCTGGCTGTCTTGTGTGCTGGAGTGCTGGATTGAGCCGTGAGGTAATGGTTTTGCTTTTTTGGAGGGAGTTCGTACCAGCTCTAGTGCTTGTCCACGAGTGTTGTGTGTGTTGTTTATGCAGGATGCTGGACGAAGTAGTGTGTAGTAGAATGACACAGGTCGGATCATTTGAATTGCCTTCTGATTAAATTTGTACGCGAGCTTTTATTCCGAAGACATTTTAAATCGTCTCTGTTCCAATTTTCTCTGTATGTAGCTGATTTTTTCCTCTGTATCGGTCTGTCGAGGTCACTTTCAGTGCGCACGAGAAATCGAATTCTTTGAGCAGATCAGCAGGACTCTTTCTCTGTCTCTACTACGTCGCAACCAGGTGCTTCGCATTACACTCCATTTGTCGTAGTTGGCTACCAAAGAATCAATTTGCAGGGTGTTTGCGAAGCACGATAATGAGCTACAAAGTTCAGTTAGAGTTCTTTACTGGTTCCAAGTGGTTTTCCCTGAACAATATCCGTTTCGGGAGTTCGAATCGCCACCTTAGGCAGTTATGATTTGGATCTTTGAGACAACGCATGGCTGTTGATCAAAAGATTCTGTTAGCTCTTCCGATTGTCAGAAGCTTTCTTGTTTTATTTTGTTGTAAACTCTGAGGACGGGCAGATACACTTCTGGTTTGCTGATTTATCCACAGTTCCAATTTCGACTAGTTGCGGACTTCGCGAGCTTCGATTGCGTTTAGAATGAGTGTCTTTGGCCTTTCAATTATTTATATTTTTTGTTTCTTTTTTGGTTTTCATTTTTCCTGCTTCTCTTGAAATCAAACGAGGTTTCTTTTTAGATGGAAACGTGGAGGATTAACTTGTGAATATTTAAAGTTTATTGCTCCTGGCCATTACGACTATGAGATACTTGTCGTTAAAGTTCGAATATATTGGCAATTTCCTCAAATAATTTGAATCCGGAGATGAGCGTTATACTTCAGGTTGTGAAGATTTAACATTGAAGATGTTATGAACATTATAATTTCGCTCTCTTGCTGTTCTTGTTGCAATCACTCCTCCGTTGATTTTGTTATATTATTTCAACAAGAATATGTCTCATCTTTCATGACGAAGCTAAATTTCAATATCACAAAAAACAATCCAACGAAGATCTTGTTATCTATGTGTTAACGATGATGGAAAATCAGCGTGATACATTTTAAGACAGTATGTTGTCGCTAGTAGCAAGAAGCTACAGCCTTCATCCGTGCTTTAGTTTTACTAAATCCTAGCGTCTTCCTTCATTCGGTTCATTCCAGGGCTTTAGGTGCGATTAATTTCATATTCCTTCGTTGTAGCACATGAGAAGTTCCCAAAGTGGCAACTGCTCAGAATTCTTCAACATAGGACAACCTTTGTACATTGTAGATTGTTTATGCAGTCAGTTTGGGTTTTGGAATTTGGGTACGTTTGCTAATATTCTAGAGGTTTGATATTAGGTGCTCCAGAAGAGTTAGTATATTGAACGTTTTGGTGAGGGTTCATGAAACCAATCACTTTAAAGCCCTAAATCCTGATTATTTTAAATATTGTCAATGTATGGTTTGTACCCCTTTCACACTATAGATATCATAGTGGTGGGAGATGCTTCATTATTCTGTAGTAGGGCAAGTGTCATCCTCTCTGTAGAAATAAATATGGTATTGAAATATTAATCAATTTGATTGATGATGGCATTGTAGGTGAATTTGGTAATGGATCAGCGGCAACAAATCACTGAAATATCACTAAAAATTGGACATTGAAGGAGATAAGTTATTGTTGCCAAATACTGATAGGCGTTCTCTATCCATGTGCCTCAGTTAACAAGAGATATACGACGTCGCAAGATGAACTCTGAGCAACGTAGAAAAGAGAGGCAGGCTGCAGGAGCTCTGGGGCAACCACCAGAGATAAAATTGAATGATACTTTTAATCCATTTCACAATGATAGCCGATTTGAGGGAGGATACGAGATACTTAAAACTGTGCTCTTGTTGCCCGTAATGGTGGTAAGAGTTGTAGTTTTTGTGACTTCACTTCTTTTAGGGTACTTATTCACCAAATTAGCACTGCTCAGAGCCAAGAATGTATTGACAAGTCCGTTTCCTCAGTGGCGTCGCTCATTGATGCTACCAGTTCGTCTGTGTGCTCGAGTGAACCTATTTGCCTGTGGCTTTCATTGGATTCATTTGAAAGGCAGTCCTGCCCCACGTCATGAAGCTCCCATTCTTGTGAGCAATCATGTGACCTTTGTGGATCCGTTGTTTCTGTTCTTCAAGCATCTGCCAGTAATAGTCACAGCCTATGAGAACCTCAACTTGCCCGTAGCTGGTGCCATCATTAAGGCGATGCAGGCAATTGCTGTCGACCGGATTTCAAGAGAATCCCGTCAAAGTGCATCTGATGCAATCAAGCGGAAAGCTATGTGCAATGACTGGAGTCATGTAATGATATTTCCTGAGGCTACTACTACGAATGGAAAACTTCTTATTTCTTTCAAAGCGGGGGCTTTTACGCCCGGTTTTCCTGTACAGCCGATTCTTATTCGATATCCTCATGTGCACATGGACCCATGCTGGGTTGCTGAGGGACCTGTTATTTACTGGCTTCTATTCCGACTGATGACCCAGTTTCATAACTTTATGTCGGTACGTCCTCTCCAACTTATTTATGCCGTCTCTTTCATTCTCGACGATCCCTTCAATGTAGATGTCTTTATGTAGATGACCACAACTTGCTTTTACCGATATTCCAAAATAACTAATCTGGCCTTGGCCTTCAGGAATAACAAGTGAGCCTTTCATATTGGTTCATCTGGTATTCGCTCGACTAGAATCATTGTGAATGCATAGAATTATCATTCTCTTGAAGTTTCATGGAGGACACTTCTACTTGTTTCAGCGTCACGTTTAGTAATGAGACTTGTTTATATTAGTGGGTTGGAGATTGCCATTGACTGAGCAGCCTATGGTTTTTAAAACCATAATGAAGAAGGTGACGTAAGACTTATAAGATCAGTTATCATGGTGCAATTCAGAGGTCTTATTTCAAGGAACGTAATGAGTCATTCATGCTAGGGGCCCTCCCTTCGACAAAATAGTTTCTGCATTTTTGGTTATATTCAGATTATACTAGCACTTCATCAGATAACAGTGGATCGGTTTTGTGTACAGGTTGAGTACCTACCTGTTATCCATCCGACTCTTGAAGAAACAAAAAACCCAAATCTGTTTGCAGAACGAGTACGCCTTACTATGGCTCGAGCAATGAACACGTCTGTGACACAGCATACATATGAGGATGCTTATATGGCCATGGAAGCAGTGAGGTTGAAGATTGACAGTGCGTCTGCGCTTCTTGAATTTGGGGAGTTCAAGAAGATCTCTCCATTCACAGTCAAAGAAGCTAAGCGATGCTTATCTAAATTTCTGGCTTTGGACTGCTCGAATAGGTAAGTTAAACTATTTGATGATCCTACCTCACTTATTAGATTGCATACTTGCAGTTTTGATGACCTACAAATGACGCGCCAACTTGTGCTCTAACAGTCTATTGTTTCCAACCTGAGTTGTAATGTCTGACAGGGCCGCTACTGGAATTGTTGCAGGGGTGCCGTCACTTACAAGGACTACATCAAAGCAGTTGACCTGCCTGATTGTTTCCTTCTACAGCAGGTGTTCCGGTACTTCGATCGTACTAATAGTGGTCACATCAATTTTCGTCAGGTACTTGGACTCTCTGGGTGTCAGTTTATTGCACACTCTGGATACTGAGCAAGAATGTATTATCTTAAAGGACTGATGAAATACGTTTTCTAAGGCTTTTGTGTCATTAGTTTGCAACGCCTTGGTGTATGTATCTATTAGAAACAGTAATCCCGACAGATTCTTGGAATGATAACAGCAATATTTCTTGCTCTGCATTGTAATATAATGATAACGGTGATGCTTATTTACAAATCATTAACTGACGTGGTTTGCATATCTGGTATTGCTGGGCAGTACGCTACGGGAATTGCTTTTATAAGCGGTCATTCAAGATTCAAGGAAGTTGTGGAGTCAGCATATAACTTTTGTGGTGGTGTAGAGAATCTATTAGATGAGACCGCATTGCATAGGAGTTTGCGTGTACTCATGCCATCAGTTTCAAAGCAACAGGTCAGACAGAAATTCATTTGCCCTGTTGCTGTATTATTGTGCGCATACTTAAGTAATCATAAGCAAGTAAATCAAGGTGTCTACAGTTTTTACATACATTTTCATAATACTCGGGACTTTTGCGGTAATTGACAGTTGTACTTTTTTGCAACAGGTTCACTTGCTTTTTAACAGGATTGACGTTAATAAAGGTGGATTACTTCGACAGACTGATTTTTCTAGCTATTGCGATGACAACCCTGATTTCCTACTATTATTTCTGATTGGGAAATCAAGTCTACTGTAGTCGAGGCTATTGCACGATTGGGAATGACGCTACGTTTCAAGTTGTACTGGAGGGAAGAAAGCAGGAATGAGATGGGACTGATTAGTGTTTTGAACACAAAATTTTGGAGGTTCTTTGTCAAGTTCTAGTTACAACAGGTTGTGTCAATTAAAGACGTAGAAGTAAATGATTCTACCACTGCTGTCGAGTATCTTGCAAACTTTCTGCAATGGAGGCTTGCTGCATGCCCTGTGCTGAATTTGCTTCCAAGCCAGTTGTGGGGTTTTGCTGTTGAGCAGGGAGCCTCTAAGGTCGGTCTCTGGTTTTCCACTCGAAGTGGGCAAGTTGTGGTCCTCCATTGTGATTGCAGAGGAAGGGTATGATGTTTAAAGACGCCTAAATCAATTCCTCGAATCAGGCATGTCTAGCTGGGTACTCTACGACAGTGGTCCATTCTTCTGTATCATGTTGTACAAATTATAGGTGCCCTAGGCCCAGTGATTTACAAAAGCTCAATCGCCCAAACGGTGTGGACTTTCAATTTTTTAAGCAAGTTCTACATTCTTCTTAATTTTCGTACTACGCAATAAACAACTGATGTTTAAAATAGCTTACATGTGGCTTCCATTCAATGCACAATGCACATAACAATTAGGGAAGGATTTCACATGAGACAAACAATGAAGAGTAATTTCAAAACAAAAGAGTAAAGGGAGTTTTTGTATTACATGGCACAATTTTTGCTCGTCCTATAGATAAACTATCCAAACTTGAGCTATGTTTAAGAGAAACTTATTGCCATTCACTCATTTTAATTAAAGAATATTAAGACCTCTACTTTTACATCCATGATCTATTCATGTTTACACGCAAGAATAATGTTTTGGTGATTGTACATCAAAAATCAGAAATTGTAAGTCAGTATATGTGATTTCATGTGGTTTCATCTAAGTTCAAGAGAACATTCATTCTTAACTTTAGAACAATAAATTAGATGAACTAATTCTATCAAAGGAAAAGGATAGGGGCTAAACGGGAACTCAAGTGAAAAGGTTCAGCTATCTAGCTCCCTGTCGGTGTAGTATGAAAACCGTTCCCAAACTATATAGAATTACAACTAACAAGAAAGAATAAAATCCATCAGAGACACAATATATAACAAAAGGATACTGTAATATAATAAACAAAACATTTAGAATATAAAAATTCCATATATTATATTACATAAACAAAAAAAAACAATAGAACCATGAAATAACACTAAAACGCAAAAGAACATTAAGTTTTAAATCTAGTACGCATTAAAAATTACTAACTATATAAGCATCAATTCAGATGATCCAGTCACAAGAGAAAATTACACATACTGAAATGGTTCACTTTCTAAAGACCTGGCAACAATATCAAGGTAGAAGATTCACGAACATAATAACTAATAACAATTTTCACAAGTACATTAGTAAAAACTTACAATTAGAAGTCACATGTAGGTTGGAGTTCAGATAAAGGCACCAAATAATACAAAAGCCTTCTTTTAAACATGCAGCAACTACAAAGAAATGCAGATCTTTGTGACTAAAATTAAATTCAACATTAACTAAGATAGTTTAGTGCAGAACAAAGTGACAGTGATTAGATTTAAAAATCATGTTACATATTGATGCACCAACAGCACAATAGTCTAAGGTCACTCGATGCCCAAAGCATGACAGTTGCGGCTCTGGTTTTGGTTAACACTAAAGGTGAATATATTGAAACATAGAATAAATACACATACATTCTTTGCACCTGGCCGTTTCACACAGGAGAAGGATGGGGGGTCTCTAAAGGAGCAAGATGGCAACAGTAGGGAACACCAGCAGGGATGGAATGAGTACCACGTCCAGAGCCCTTCCGTCCGAAGAACTAATGCATGGCGCCACTCTTTCTGAGCGGACTGAGACGAGACAGTACCAACATAATTTATAATAGATATGAATGTATGACCATAGGTTGTAGATGAATTGGAAGGGGGAGTAGCTCACATGGTGGAGCGCCTGATTCGCATTCAGGAGGTAACGGGATCGATGACCGTCTTCTCCAAGTCCGTCTACCGCCTCGTGAGGCTACTGCACTGCCCCTACACAGGAGTCTTTCTCCCTCCGAAAGGGGTCCTTTTTTTTATCACCCTTCTATGGAAGCGATTCCTCGATCCCGTCTCGTCTCCTTCTCTAGATCAACTGACATCAACCCTAACCATTCTCTACTCCCTTTTCCATGTTGAATCCGCCCTTCTTCTCTTAAATTCTTGTTTCATTCCTTCTCCCTAATTGACTCAAGATCGTCTTTGTAACCTACCACCACAATTCTCATCACCTACTTGGTGTGCTGTGATAATTCCCACAAACTTACCATGTTCTAGTTTTACCAAAAAGTAAACTCTTGTTGATTCATATACAGTGCACACTGAACATCTTTTACTTTCCTCGTGTTGCTCACCAACTTAGCAAGCAACCTCTTGTTTTTATTAGCCTCAGTGTAAAGATAAGATGTCATTTTGAAGCTCTGCAAAATTTAATGGTATCATATTTGAGCTATGTATGGCATGAACACGTTTGACTAATAAGAGTAAAACTTTTACCCTTATTTCAGTTGCATGATAACCCATAAGCTTACATAGAATATTCAACTAATATACACTTTGAGCGCAAACTGTTTTTCACTTGTTTTACAGTGTAGTTATTTCAAATGAAAGCAATTTAGGTTTACCCCAACTTAGAGGAACAAAAGTTTGTGGTTCTATTTTATTTATTTTTTCTCTTTTTAATGCCGTTGAATGGATTGTATTCAAAATTGTACAATGTATATGTACAATTCCAGCTGAAATTGTAGGTAGATCAGCAACTTGTATCTTTGAAAGGTATTCCTGTTGATCAAGGTTTATGATTCTTGAATACAGGGTGCTTTTTATTCAGAAGTTAATTTTTTAAGTTGTAAATTTAAGAATCTATCGTTTTCAGTTACTTTGTTTCATGTGGAGGTTTCATTGAGAAGATACGCTTGTCTGCATTCCATAATGATGTCATATGACTTATTATCAAAAAAATATTATAATATGTCTTGTTATCAAAAATATGTACTTACAATGTATTGGTGTAAATAAATAAAAAATTAAATAATGACTTATTACCAAAAAAATAAATAAAATAGAACCACAAACTTTTGCACAATGTACCATAAGTATATTATAAATTGCATTGTTGTCATATGACTTATTATCAAAAAAAATATTCTTATGGTGCATAAAGTCACTAGTTTAGTGAATTAGTGTAGGAATTTTGAAATAAATAGAAAACCAAATAAATAAATAAAATAAAATGTTAGTTGCAAGAATAGATCTCTTACTCAGTTGTCCTTGAGAAGGGATTTTAAATTACATATATTCTCTTCAAATTAGCCAATAGAAATTTATATTTTTTTAATAGTAGTCTTATATCTATTAAATATTCAATTGGGCTTAAATTTAAATGGGATCTTTGATTAAAAAAATTCAAAAAAAAATTCAAAAAAAAAAAACACCTTAGTAGCTTTAGACAAATAAAATAGAAGGGAAACTATAGAATAGAAGAGAAAAAGATTGAGAGTAGGGAGAAAAAAGAGAAGAAAAGAAAAAAAAAAAAAAAATAGGGGAGAACTGAAGAAAGAAAAAAAATAAAAATAAAAAAGAGAAAAAATAAATTAAAATAAAATAGAAAGGCAATTAAGAAGGCAAGAGGCTACTTCTGAATGGTGGCAACCTCTTCATTGATATTGAAGTTGTATTAGATTCGCTCTCTCCATTTTTTATTTATTTTTTGATTTTTTTAAGAAGCATCTCAATTTTGGCAATTGGAGAATGATTTTTTTGCATTATATTTTTTCTTATAAGTATGTATAATTGCAACAGTATTGTGGCAAAGAAAAAAAAAAGAAAGAAAAAAAGAATTGTTATTTTATTTTTTCTTTTTTTTCTTTTTTTCCTTTTGTGCAAGGAGAAGGGCTATGGATCAAACAAGTTATTGTTTTGGCAACCTAATAGAGACCTTACCATCAATATTTAGTCTACAAAAGTATTTGTACATTAGCAAAGATTTTGGCCATTGTATTATCAATCTGATAGATCTGGTGTTAGCGGTTTTGACAAAGTGCAATAAGAACACTGCAACTGATGTAATATTATGCAGTAGAAAATTCTAGTGCACCCTTGTGATTCTCTTGATCAAAGGTGTTGCAGTTTGATACTTAAGATTTATCAATGGCATTTTTTCTAAGTTGATATAGTGTAGTTTTAGATTAAATCTAGCATTAGATTGAATTTTCTTTTATTTTTTGCTCCATTAGTGGTGATGATGGAGCAAAGCATGAAAAACTAGCTACATTGTTTTAGTCTAGATCTTGGTGATCTACAGGGATTGTGTTGCCTTCAAGTTCCCTTTTGATTGTCGGTAGCTCATGTTTCCGAGGTTCATTTGACCACAATATTTTTATTGTATTGGTGGCAATGTGCTTGGCAACAAAGTAACAACATGCCATAGTAAAGATTAGCCTACTATGATATGTGTAAATATATTGATTATGTCACTACACTTTAGAATAGCCGATGGTACATCATTTCATATGCCTATTCTATTGACTCTCAGGTTTCTTGAATTGAAGCATCTCATACAAAGAACAGTCAAAAATTGCCATAAGTAGTTTGATTGGAACTATTTTACATTTTCATTAGTCAGCTTTTCTAATCTACTCTTCTTTGACACAAACAATTAAACAATTGAAACAATATACTTTTCTAAAACTTAAGTGGTAGTGAATGTCATAGATAAGATAGCTTGTCCCAATTTGGCATTACTTCTACTTACATTGTTTTCTACTCCAAAAAAAAGCTATTCAATTGATTGGTTTTATTTTATATATATAAAAAAATTATAAATATTTTTACAGTAGAATTCATTTTATTATAGGATTACATTAGAATAGTATTACAATCATGTGACTCTTTAAAGAAATCTTGTGTTAAAAATGTCTATCTGTAGATAGGAATAATCAACCCTGTTGAATTTTGGTTTGTGGTAAAAAATGATCTTCAAAGAATTGATGTAGATGAGCTTTTTAGATATGCTTGTGTTGACCAAAAAATTGCAACAACCTATTGAAATTGGTATCTTCTCTATTATTACATAGTGAAGAATAAGGCCATTTTTTATAGATATACTATACAAAAGATTCAACAAGAAGTTGAATAAAAAAGCTAGCATGAACTTCATTAAATCAAATAAATATATGATAAACACCAAGAAATTAAATTAAAGCTTCAAAATACATTGTTGTAGTATGTGAAGTCTTACTTGAAAATGCATTCAACACTTGGTTGTGGAAGATAAAGAAATTTACAACAAGTCCTAATAATCCTAATAAAATCATATATAAATTTTAATTAAAAGCTTAAAAAAATTATCAAATATTGATTAAATATAATTAATTTTAAAATTAATTATAAAAGAGATACAAAAAATCCTAAAGAAATTCTTAAAAAATTCAAAAGATATCTTAAAG